TATTTAGTCAACCCAGCGACTTCCTTTCCTTCCCAGTCTTTTGCTTTTTAAAACACAGGTTAAGTCACACAGACTGTAGACAAGCACTCCCCTGGCGCAGGGACCGTGGGGCTGGCAGTTCCCGCAGGCTGGCTCCCGGGTGGTGGTGTGACTGTGCTTCCCTCTGTTGCCCCTTCACTAAGGAGCCCTGGACCGCTGCCCGTGTCCGCTCCTTGAATCTTATTTTCCTGTTTTGTCTCTTGGCTTCAGCGCTGCACACTCCTAGCAGCAAACTCCTCCCCTGCAACCTAATAACTTGCTGCACTCACGGCCGCCTGGCACTTCCTCTGTCCCACAAGGGCTCAGCACCGCTGTGGGTCAGGGACTAGGGATACAGAGATAAGCAGACGTGGGCTCTGCTCAGGGAGGGGCTTCCCTGGTGGCTCAGCGGTAAAGCATCTGCCTGCAATTCAGGAGACCTGGGTTCGATCCCTGAGTCGGGAAGATCCCTTGAAGAAGGAAATGGCAATCCACTCCAGTATTCTTGCCTGGGATATCTCATGGACAGAGGAGCCTGGCGGACTGCAGTCCATGGGGTCGCAGAGAGTCGGACACGACTGAGTGACTAAGTATGCACGCACATACAGGCAGGAGGATCATGAGGGCTCTGATGTGATCCATGTGCTCAGAGAGGTTGGATCACTTCCTCTGGGTCACACAGCCAGCAGGGAATAAGGCATGAGAGTCAGACCTATTTGACTCTCAGGCCCAAGCAAGCTCTTTCCACTGCCCCCGACTCTTGGAGACTTTACAGTCTAGTGAGAGAGCTCTAACTGAACAACCAAATAAAACACAACAGGATACCTTCTACCATAGAAGAGGCATAGCTGAAGAACTGCAGAGACAGAGAAGGAGAGTGATTGATTTCCATGGCGGACGGTTCCAGGAGAGATGAAACGTGAGCAGGGTCTTCCATTCTCAAGCTTAAGAAACCACATAACTCGTGTGGTTAAAACTGTGTGTAAAGTAAGAGCCAGGATGCCCTGGGTGAGGAGCGCTGGGTTTATTTATGCGTAAAATGCCTGAGAACGAGCTGCATGAACTGGGGGTCATCTCTGCTCTTGGCCACAGAACAGGTAGTGAGGTCCCTGTCCCTGGAGGTAACCAGCAAGACATTTTTAAAAGGTACCAGTCCTTGGGTGGGGTTGTTGAGGGGTTCTTTGATTCCTTCTGGTAGTAAGATGTTACGAGTTTCATTCTTCTTTCCTAGTGAAGGGAAGGCGGGCCCCTTCTTAGTTCTCCCATGGACCCTGGGGAAGGGCGCCCTGGACCCCTTGTTCCCACTGGGGCCACCAGGACCAGAGGCCCCATGAGCAGCTGGTAACATTCCACGCCCTGAAACGTCCTCTCCCACCCAATTCTTTCAACAGTCTCAAGGCGGAGGGCTTCTTACTCCCATTTTAAAGACATAAAACTGAGATGGCAGAAATGTAAACATCTTGCTCAGGACTGCATGACTGGGACCTGAAACCCCCAGAAGGAGAAGTGTGCAGCCTGGCAGTTACTGCCGTGCCCGCCTCCCCAGACAGAACCTGTGCTGAGCGGCCTCAGGATGTGGGGTGTGCGGCCCCAATCTCTTTGCTCCATCCCTGGCATTCCAGACTCTCGGACTGCCTGGCCAGGGGAAGACAAGTCACGAACTAGGAGAAAATACTTGCAAACATATGGATAACAAGGGATATATTCATAGACAATATATACTATAAAGAGGTGGCTTAGAAAGTAAAGAATCTATCTGCAATGCAGGAGAGCCAGGTTCAATCTCTGGGTCAGGAAAATCCCTGGAGAAAGGAATGGCTATCCACTCCAGCATTCTGGCCTGGGGAATTCCATGGACAGAGGAGCCTGGCGGGCTATAGTCTATGGGGTCACAAAGAGTTGGACTCAATTGAGAGACTAATGCTTTCACTTTTCAGATAACAAAGGATGCATTCGTAGAAAACATATACTATAAAGAATTCAAGACAATTTTGGTGTTTAGTTGCTAAGTCGTGTCCAACTCTTTGTGACCCCATGGACTGTAGCCTGTCAGGCTCCTCTGTCCATGGGGTTTTCCAGGCAAGAATACTGGAGCGGGTTGCCACTTCCTTTTCCAGGGAATCTTCCTGACCCAGGGATTGAACCCACATCTCCTGCATTGCAGGTGGATTCTTCACCTCTGAACCACCTGGGAAGTCCAATCAATAAGACAAACAACCTAACAACAAAAGAGAGGCAAAAGACTTACAGAAACATTTTGAGTACTGTTAAAGCCCTCTTGTGCACAAGTTTTCATGTATCACATGGCACTTCTGCATGCATTGTCCCCTGGTGTCAGCACTGCCCCTCAGATAGGAACTACCATCCACCTCTGTAGAAGGGCTGACTAGCTTTGTAAACTAGTGTTAGTTCCTATGGCCTAAGACGTTGCTCTGGTGTGGAAAGTCTGCCAGTTGGATTTATTTATAGAGAAGGATGCCTGTAGTTTTTGCTTAAGAGAGGCTCCACTGGGACTGTTTTGGGGGTTGTTCCTGAACAGACTTGGGGGAGACATTTCTCAGGGGTGTGATCTGACTTGATGAACCCCTCCCTCTTGGTTCACTTCTCTCTGCATGCTCTTGTCAGCAGAGAGGGTGGTAGGATATCTCCATAATGATGTCAAGGAGCTGAGGCTGCCCGTGCTGGCTCGTCTCTGCTTCTGCAGGTGGGTCAGGCTCTGGGAGGCCCTCTGCTTTGGCCACTGAAGAGCCAGCAGGCTCGGGGGGGGTGGGGGGGACAGCCCAGCTCATTGTGGCTTCCCACGGCTCCTGGAGTGCCTGCCTCACTACCCAACATGGCTGGAACTCTGGCCCAGCCAAGGCTTGGCCCCAGACTTGGAAATGCAGACGGAGCCAGGTTGGACTGTAGGTGGTCGACTTTCCCCCAACTTACACTGCATTTTGCTAAAACCTGGACTCTGGAGCTCTAACTCCTGGGTTCAAATCTTGATTAGGGAAAGCTCTGCACTTCAGTTTCTCCTTCTGTAAAATGGGGATAAAGGTCGTGCCTGCCTTCTAGGCTGTTGTGACGACTAAATGATTACATTTTTTTTTAATGAGGATCACTTTAAAAGTCTTTAATGAATTTGTTGCAACCTTGTTTCTGCTTTATGCTTTGGTTTTTTGATCTTAGCTCCCCAACTAGAGATCAAACTCCCACCTCCTGCACTGGAAGGCGAGGTCTTAACCATTGGACCACGAGGGAAGTCCCCTGTTAGCATTTGTTAAGGCATTTAGAATAGGGCCTGGCATGTAGCCAGCACTGTATTAAGCAACTGCTCTCATCATTGTTAGCATTGCTACTGTTATCATTTCACTCAGCCACCATGGATGGAGGACCATATGTATGGAGTCAGATGGATGGGGTTCAAATCCTAGCCTTGCTATTAATTCGCCGAGTGACCCTGAACATTTCACTTAACTGCTCTGTGCCTTGGTCCCCTCCCTCTTCTGTGAAGTGGAGATAATGAACATACATATATAACAGGCTGGTGGTGAGGATAAGAGGCTCAGACCAATGCCTGGCTCACCGCAAGTGTCTAGTACCTAATCCTAGGTACTATTATTTTTTTTTTATTTATTTTTTCCATTTATTTTTATTAGTTGGAGGCTAATTACTTTACATCATTACAGTAGTTTTTGTTATACATTGAAATAAATTAGCCATGGATTTACTATTATTATCATTGACATCTGAGTTCCCGTGACTCCTGCCGGGTCGGGCCAGGCCCTCCACAGCTGCCCTGGGAGGAACTCACCGTCACCTTGGACAGATCCACTAGCACTTGGGGCCCCCCTCAGCCCCTCCTTGGATTCTCTCTGCCTACTCCCGGCACTCCAGACCTAGAACTTTGACCCAGCCCTTCCCAGCATGCCGCCACTCTCCAGTCCTCTCCTAGCTGCAGAGGGGTGTCTCCCTAAAACTCATAAGATTGCTAGAGCCCTCCAACAGCTTAGCCACTGTATGTGGACTGCAATTCAGACTCCTCCTGGGGGTCCTCTAGGCCTGCCCTCAAGAGTCCTCCTGAGGAGGTATCCCCCTGCCTGCATAGCCTACTTGGGGGTCTCACTCACCCCTCCCCAGCCCACTGCCTTCCTCATTCTTCCTTAGCTCCATCAGGGCCACTTGCCCCTTGCCCCCACCCCCATCTGCGCAGAACACTCTCCCCAGACCTGCCCCCCGTGCCTTGCCCCAGACCTCTGCATGGCTGGCTGCTTCCACCACAGGGACCTCCGGTCAAAAGTCCCCTCTTTAGGGGCTTCCCACCACACCTACCCTGCTCTGCTTTGCTTTATTCAGTGCTGGCCATGTCCAGAAGCCATCTTTTGTATTTATTTGCTCAACTGTATGGGAGCAGGTCCCGTGTGTTTCATTCTCAAGGGTACCCCAAGGTGAATCAGAGCATAACAAAGAGTGCACACAGAAGATGCTCAGTAAATACTCATAAACAGGGAAAGAGGTAGTTGAGCAAGCCCTGCCCCCAAGCATCCTTTGTTGTTGTTGTTGGGTCGCTAAGTTGTGTCCAACTCTGCCACCCCATGGATTGCAGCATGCCAGGCTTCCCTGTCCTTCACCATCTCCCAGAATTTGCTCAAACCCATGTCCATTCAGTCAGTGACGCCATCCAACCATCTCATTCTCTGTCATCCCGTTCTCTTGCCCTCAGTCTTTCCTAGGTCTTTATCCCACATCAGGGTCTCTTCCAATGAAGAGCTCATGCATCTTTGGTATTATATAATAAAGGAGGTTGAGCCCCAGTGGTGAAAACACTAAATCTTTGCCAACCTTGTGAGCCTGGGAAGCTTTTCAGCCCATCTCGGGAAGAGGAGGCGGGGTGGGTGTCACCTCCTGTTCCTGTGGATGGCTCATAGATGGCTCTCCTCAACCTCCTTCTGCACCCACGCCTGTCAAAAGCTGCCGGGTTTAAACACCCATGTTTCTGTTCCGCATTATTGATTGTTTAATATTCAAGAGATGGCATTAAATAAATATGTGCACGATTATGTAATGTGTTTGGAAACAATCTGGTTGGTCCCAAAGTGCTTGAGCAAGAAACAGAACTTCAGTGAGGCGAGAGATCTGGGTGATCTCCAAGGGCTGAGGACAGAGGCACGTGGCCCGTCTGCCTGTCTCCTCCTCCCCCTGTTTGGCTCTGGACTCCCTCATCTTCCTTGGTGCAGGCTGGGTGGGGTAAGTAGGAAGTGAGCTCAGAATCTCTGAGTTGCACCCTGGATCTCCCAACTCCTGGCTGGTAGCTACTTCTTTCTGGGTCTCCGTGTTCTCATCTGTGAAAAGGGGCCGATGACACCTTCTAAGATCAGAGGAGATGCTGACTTGAGCTCTGACTCAGAGGCTGTTCTTTTGGAAAGTAAGTTGGGTCTGATGCTCAAAGATAAGCAGTGTGACCTCTGGTCCCTGACAGCTGTGGGTCTCGGGTTGCAGGCAAGGACTTTGAGGTCCACAGGTATACAATGCAAGGCGGGTCGAGCAAGGCGTTAACAGAAGCCCAAAGAAAGGGATTTGGAGAACAGAAGATGTGGTTAATCCCAGCTAGGAGTCAGAGAAACTTCACAGAGCTCCCACAGGGGCTGGCTCTGGAAGGCTGGATGGCATTGTGACCCTGGAGAGACAGCTAACTGTCTCATTTAACTAACATGCGCTAGACAACTAGGCATCTATTTATTCAACTGAGCACCTACTATCTTCCAGCTACTCTGCTAAGCACTTCACATGGATCATCTCTGCTTGACCTTGACAAGAAAGAGACGCTGCTGCCGCCTCATTTCACTGACGAGGGACCCGAGACTCAGTTCACTAATTGCAGGGATGCTGCCTTCCTTCCATGATGCCTTCTCACTCCGCTCTCCATTCAAACACAAAGACGTGAGGGGGAGTTTCCCACACCTGCACCGTGGTGCATAAATAATTTACGTGTCCCCACCAGAGCGGCAGAGGGAAGGCGGCTGCCATCAACCACTGCTCTCCTGCTCGGCAGACCATCCATCAGCACCCCTGCACCCGTGCTGTCCTCCCAGGTCTCCCCCACCTCCAGCCCCCCCATACCCCAGTCTCCAACTCACCCCATCCACGTCTTCTGGTTAAATGAAAGGCATCAGGGTTTGGAAAATGGGGCCCATGTCTTGCCGCCTCTGGGGGCTGGGTGACGAAGTTCAGCTCTGGAAAAGGGGAGAAGGCATCGGTTAGGGGCGGGTGACCCCACGGGGACTCAAGTCAGGAAGGAGTTGGGAAGGGAACAGTGGTGGGGCATGTCCATATGTGCCGGCACTGGACTAGCGCCAGGGTCAGGGGGGTGGGGATGGGAGAGAAGAAGGAGGACTCTGCCCCTGCCTTCTCCATCAAGACTCGCTTGGGTGGGCTTCACCACTTCCCAGGCCCCATCTCAGGGGAACCAGTCTACCCTCCAGGAGAGTGTTAGGGTGAGGTCTCCCTGTCCTCTGATGGCTGGTGTGGCCTGCGAGGGCAGAGGAAGTGAGGCAGAGTGATCATAGGCCTGTGCTCAGGAGAAGGACAGAGGCCCTGGGAGGCTGGTGGCTGGACCTTTCCAACCCTCTGTTTCCCCATCTGCAGGACAGAGATAATAATACCTATTTTTATGTGCACTCATGTACATGGGCGATGTATGTGAGCAGTTCTATCACATGTGTAGTGTTATGCAAGCACAGTCACAAGCAAGATACAGAACTGTTCTGTCACCATAAGCTTCCTTGGGCTGCCCCATTGAAGCCACCCCCACCCAGCTGCATCCCTTGTTGTTCTTGGTCAGTTTCTGAGTCATATCTGACTTTTTGTGACCCCGTGGACTGCAGTCCTGGAGTTTGCTCAAATTCAAGTCCACTGAGCAGGTGATACTGTCTAACTATCTCATCCTCTGTCATCCCCTTCTTTTGCCTTTAGTCTTTCCCAGCATCAGGATCTTTGCCAATGAATCGGCTCTTAACACCAGGTGGTCAGAGTGTTGAAGCTTCAGCTTCAGCACTGAGCCACCAGGCAAGCCCCCTGGCAGTCATGAATCTGTATAATGTTGTTTCTTCAATGATGTCTATAAACGGAATCATGCTATATGTGACCTTCTGGGATGGCTTTTTAAACACAGTGCAATTCTGTGGAGATTCATCAGGTTGTTGTGTGTGTAGGTGGTTCAATGCTTTTTAGGTGAGTACCACTTCATGATGTGGGGGGACCACAGGTAGCTTAATCAACCATTAAAGGACATCTGGGTTACTTCCAGTTTTTGATTAATATGAGTAAAGCTGCTATAAACCTTTGTGTACAGAGTTTTTGTGTGAACATAAGTTTACATTTATTTGGCATGGATGCTCAATAGGACAATTGGGTCATACGGTAGTTCTATATTTAGGGTTTTTTTTTTTTTTTAAAGAAACTCCCAAACTCTTTTTTAGGGTGGTTGTACCATTTTACATTCTCATCTACAATGTATGAGTGATGCAGTTTTTCTGCATTCTCATCAGCAGTTGGTGTGATCATTTTTTATTTTAGCTGTTCTGATAGGTGTGTAATAATATCTCACTGCGGTTTTAATTTGCCTGTCTTTGATGGCTAATGATGTTGAACATCTTTTCATGCGCTTGTTTTCCATCTGTATATTCTCTTCATAGAAATGTCTCTCCGTGACTTATATCCATTTTCTAATTGGATTTTTTTTTAGTGGTTGAATTTGGAGAGTTTCTTTTATACTTATTAGATATCAGTACTTTGTTATATTTTGTGGTTTGCAAATATTTTCTCCCAGTCTGTAGCTTTTCTTCATCTTCTTAACAAGTTTCTTTGTTGTTTTTGCAGATCATGAGCTTTTAATTTTGTGAAGTCCCAATTATCTTTTTTTTTTTTCTTTTATGGATCATGTTTGGTGTCAAGTTTAATAATTATTTAGTCCTACATCCTGGAGAGTTTCCTCTTACATTTTTCCCCTAAAAGTTTTATAGTTTTACATTTTATATTTAAGACTATGATCCATTCTGAGTTAATTTTGTATAAGGTGTGAGATTTAGATATGATTTTTCTTTTTTTGCCTATGGATGTCCAATTGCTTCAGCATCACTTGTTGAAAAAGTTATCATCTTGCCTCCATTGAATTGCTTTTGTGTCTTTGTCAAAAATCAGTTGGGCTTGTTTGCATGTATCTATTTCTCAATCTTTTATTCCCTCCATTGATCTACATGTCATCTCTCTGTTGATACCACAAAGTCTTGATTTCTATATAATAAATCTTGAAATCAGGTAGACTGACTCTTCTTACTTTATTCTTCTTTTTCAAAACTGTTTCAGCTATTTTAGCTTCTCTGCTGTTCCATATAAGTTTTATAATAATCTTCACTACATCTATAAAAATTTGTTGGGATCTTAATAGAAATTGCAGAGACTAACATTTTTACTGTGGTGAGGCTTCCAATCCATCCTAGGTCTTCTTTGATTTCTTTCATCAGCTTTTTTTTTCTCAGCATACAAATCTTGTATGTGTTTTGTTAAATTTACACCTAATTATTTCACTTCTGAGTGATTGTAAATGGCATAACATTTTTAATTATGGTGCACCCATGTTCCCTGATAGTATATAGAAATGCAAAAGATTTTTGTATGTTTATCTTGTATCCTGTGACTTTCCTGAAATCACTCATTAGCTCCAGGAGGTTTTTCTTTTTTTCCCTTTGATAGATTCTTTGGGATTTTTCCTGTAGACAATGAAGTTATCTGCAAATGGGGGCAATTTATTTCTTCCTGTCCAACCTGCCCTTTTCTTGTCTTGTCTTACTGAATTGGCTAAAATTTACAGCATTATTTGAATATAAGTGGTGAGAGCTGACGTCCTTGCCTTATTCTGTTTTAGGAGCAGTCATTCAGTCTTTAACCATTAAGATAATATTAGCTTAGTGTTTTGCAGATGTTCTTTATCAAGTTGAGCAAAATCCCTTATATTTCTATGTTTCTGAGCATTATACCATGAGTGGCTGTTGAATTCTATCAAATGCTTTTCCTGCATTAGTGGACATACTGCATGATTTTTCTTTAGACCATTAGCATGGTAGATTATGTTAATTGATTTTTTATTTTTGAAAGAAACATCCTTTTATTTTACATATTTTTGTTAAGACATTTAAAATCCATGTGTTAAATTTTAGGAATATTCAACAAGTGACAACTCATTGATAAACTGGTACAAAGTAACATGTCACTGATATTTGCTGTAACCCAAGAACAAGCTCATTTGTATGAAGTAAGCAAACATCATTCAGGAAATGCCTTTGGGAAATTATTTAACATGAAACTTTAATACATAGGAAGGTGAAAGTCACTCAGTCGTGTCTGACTCTTTGCGACCCCATGGAATTCTCTGGGCTGGAATACTAGAGTGGGTAGCCTTTCCCTTCTCCAGGGGATTTTCCCAACCCAGGGATCGAACCCAGGTCTCCCGCATTGCAGGTGGATTCTTTACCAGCTGAGCCACAAGGGAAGCCCTTAATACATAGGAAGCCATTAGATAATCATTAACACATATCAGATATACTGAACACTATCAAAGTGGATTCAGTTACTGTTTGCAATTTAAATTGTAAACACAGAGGTATATCAGGGAGTTAATTGATTTATAAATGTTGAACCAACTTTGCATTTCTGGAATAAACCCTACTTGGTCATGATGCATAATTGCTTTTCATATATCACTGAATTTTATTTGCTAAAGTTTCATTAAAGATTTTCACATCTACATTGATGAGGAATGTTGGACCCTAGTCTTGTGTGTGTGTGTGTGTGTGTGTGTGTGTGTTATATTTTCTTTGTCTGGTTTTGATATCAGGGTCATTCTAGCTTCAAAAAATGAATTGAAAGTGTTCCTTCCTCTGCTACTTACTGGAAGACACTGTGTAGAACTGGTGTTAATTTTTAAAGCATTTGGTAAAATTGTCCAGTGAAACTATCTGATCTGGGGTTTTCTTTGTAGGATATTTAAAATTTAAAAATTCAAATTCTGCAATAGTTATAGTGCTACTCAAATTATGTTTCATATTGGGTAAATTGTAGTAGTTTTCATTTTTTGAGAAATTGGTTCATCTCGTTTAGGTTGTCAAAGTCCTGTGCATAGAGTTATTCATAGTATTCCTTTACCCTCCAATTGTATATCTGCAGGGTCTATAGTGATGTCACATTTCATTTTCAATTTTGGTAATTTCTCTCTTTCCCTTCCTTTTTTGCCCGTTAGTCTTGCTAAAATTTTGCCAATGTTATTGATATTTTAAAGGTACGACTCTCCAGTTTCACTGATTTATCTCCATTCATTTTCTGTTTTCAATTTTATTGATTTCTGCTCTTATCTCTATTATTTCCTTCATCCTGCTTGATTTGAGTTTGTTTGGTTTTTCCTTTTCTAGCTTGTCAATATGGGAACTTAAATCACTGATTTGAGGCTTTTCTCTTTGCTGACTATGCATCTAGTACTATAAATTTCCCTCTCAGCACCACTTAGGTATGTCACACACATTCTGACATGTGATACTTTAATTTTATTTTTTTATTAACTCTGACTGCACAGCATGTGGGATCTTAGTTCCCTGACCATGGATCAAACCTGTGCCCCCTGCATTGGATGCACAGAGTCTTAACAACTGGACTGCCAGTAAAGTCTCCTGTGATATTTTTATTTTAATTCAGTTCAAAATAGTTTAAAATTTTCAAATTATACTTTATCATTGACTCATGGATTATTTAGATGTGCATTATTTAATTTCCAAGTAGTTGGGAGATTTTTCTGTTTTCTTTCTGTTACTGATTTCTAGCTTTATTTTACTGCAGTTGGAGAACATATCCTTTTGATTTAAATTCTAATTTTGCTGAGGTTCGATTTATGTCCCAGCATATGGTATATTGTGGTGTATGTTCTGTGGACACTTGAAAATAACGAGTTCTATAAACGTTGATTTGATCCTGTTGGTTGATGATGTTGTTGAGTTCTCTATCCTTGCTCTGACACTCTATCTAATTGCTCTGTCCATTATTGAGAGAGAGGTGTTGGAGTCTCCAGCTGTAATTGTAGTCAGTTCCATTAGCTTTTTCTTCTCATATTTTACAGCTCCATTGCTTAATGCATATATATTTAGAATTGCTACATCTTCTTGGTGGTTGGACTCTTCATCATTATATA